AAAACTATGATCGCACGAGTAACATAATTTTTAATTGAAAAAAATCCCATTTAATTATAAGCTGATTGAAATCCCCAATAATTTGCATAATACCGTTGGTAACTTCCATATTATTTTAATGTGTGCTGATAAAGACGCTATATCTGTCCTGCCCATAAAATAAAATAAAACAACAGAAGCAAACAATTATAATTTATACACTATAGATTAGTCAAATAGGTATATATATACTGGGATTTTCATATTCATATTATTGAATTTAATCAAATCTGGGCTATCTAATCAAGTATGGAATCAGTCAGATGCCTATATATAAATGGGGAGTTGTCCCATTACGGAATTATTCCGTCGGAGTTTGTAACTGTTAGATCAACTATTTTCGATGGTTACATGATGATCTAACGACTACGAACCTCAACGCAATGGTTCCGTAACGGGACCGTAGCATTTCCATATATATATATATATATATATATATATGATGTATGGTTCTTCTTCTTCATTATTGGTCAATTAGCCAATAATATTAATTTATTGGTAAAAAAAAAAAAATAGGTACATAAGTTTATCATATATATCAGCCAAAGATCTTAGATTTAAGTTGCTTTTATTTGTGAGATTTTGGCACACGTGAAAATCAACTTTCTCATTTGGTACTATAATCCAAGCCGTATGGCCTCAGGTATGATAATATTAATCACAATGTTTAGCATACTTATCAGAGTCTCAATGCATACTCAATTCAGCTCGAGTTTTTTCCAAGTCGAGTTAAGTCTGTCTCGTTAGCTAAATGAGTTGATAAACGAATTTAAACTCGACTTGTTAACTAAGTGAGGCAATAAACGAGCTCGTTTTGTTTATCAATATTATTGAGTCGACTAGGAGCATTAAGAAGTTCGATATAAAATAAAGATGTTAAGAAAACTACTAAATAAATTTTATTCTTTTAGCTTTAATTAGTCATACTCAATTTGACTCATTAAATAAATGAGCAGAACACATAAGAAGAAGTATTGCTTGAAGTTTATTTTCTTTTCACTTTTATTTTCCAATTTGTGTCGTAGGTGTTATCCGGCTGACAGAGACGATTAATGATTGAAATGGAATTTGATTATCAGCTTTAATTTTTTTCATGATTAAAAAGGCAAACTTAAATTAGTTATACTATCGAGATGGGCTCATGGGGGCTTGCGGGCCTGATTCTAGCCCTGTTCCTCTTCGCCACGTGGGCGGCAGCCGCCGATCGCCGCCGCCGCCGGCTGCCGCCCGGCCCGCGCCCCTGGCCGCTTCTCGGGAACATACCCCAGCTCGCAGGCGGCGGCGCCTCAGCGCCACACCGGTCGCTCGCCGGCCTTGCCCGCCGCCACGGCGCCGTCATGACGCTACACCTCGGCGCCATGACCACGGTGGTGATCTCCTCCAGCGCGGCGGCGCGAGCCGCGCTCCGGCGCCACGACGCCGCCCTCGCCGGCCGGCAGATCTACGACTCCATGCGCGGGGAGGTCGGGAACGAGGGCTCCCTCATCACCGCCCAGTACGGCCCCCGCTGGAGGGCCCTCCGGCGGCTCTGCACGGCGGAGTTCTTCGCCGCCGCCCCCCTCGACGCCATGCGCGGCGTCCGAGAAGGTTGCGCCGCCCGGATGGTGGACCACATCCGTGCCGCCGCCGCCGCAGGCGGCGGCATCGACGTCGGCCGGTTTTTCTTCCTGATGGCGTTCAACCTGATCGGAAACCTAATATTCTCGAAGGACCTACTGGGCCCGGAGTCGGAGAGAGGGTCGGAGTTCTTCTACCACGCCGGGAAAGCGACGGAGTTCGCCGGAAAACCCAATGTCGCCGATTTCTGGCCGGTTTTGAGGCGGGTCGATCCGCAGGGGATCCGGAGGAGGACCCAATTCCACGTGAAACGGGCTTTCGACGTGGCGGGCGAATTTCTCAGGGAGCGGATGAGTGAGACTGCAAACGGGTCGGGTCTTGGGAAAAAGAATGAGAAGAAAGATTATTTGGATGTGCTTTTGGACTATAAAGGCTGTGGCTTTGAAGAAGGTGTTAATGGGTTTTCTTCAACCGTCATCAATGTTATTGTCTTCGTAAGCTCTCTTATTTTTTTAGACAAATTCGTAAACCAAGTATGGGAAAATGCTAAGGTTCCGTTACGGTACCATGCCGTTGGGTATTTTAACCGTTGGATCATCTATCTTATCTAACTACATGTTGATCCAACGGTTAAAATACTCGACGGCATGGTACCGTAACGGGACTTTAGAATCTCGACGGCATGGTACCGTAACGGGACTTTAGAATCTCCCGTATGGGAAAATCTAATTTACCATTTTTTTATTGAATTGGTTAACCAATTTGGTTCCACAAAAATTTAACTAATTTCATTAAGAGGTTTTTATTCAATTGATTAAGTAAAAATGCAAACTCTGTTTATCGTACAGGAGATGTTCACTGCCGGAACCGACACCACCACCAGCACACTCGAGTGGGCCATGGCCGAGCTCCTCCACAACCCGGAAACCCTCCATCGAGCCCAAACCGAACTCCGAGCCACAATTAGGCCCGGGAAAAAGCTCGACGAACGGGAACTCGACCAACTCCCATACCTAAATGCAATCATCAAAGAAACATTACGACTACACCCGCCCCTCCCGTTCTTAGTTCCCCACAAAGCCCTCGAGTCGTGCGAAATCCAAGGCTTCCACGTTCCCAAAGAAACACAAGTCCTAGTGAACGTGTGGGCCATCGGGAGGGACCCGACAATCTGGAAAGATCCTTTGAGGTTCAAACCCAATCGGTTTTTGGAACCCGACGTGCCGGATTACAAAGGGCAACATTTTGAGTTCATACCGTTTGGGTCCGGGCGGCGAATGTGCCCGGCCGTGCCTTTGGCATCGAGGATTTTGCCGTTGGCTTTGGGGTCGGTTTTGTACTTCTTTGATTGGGTTTTGGAGGATGGGAAGAAAGGTGAAGAGATGGATATGAAGGAGAGGATGGGGATTACATTGAGAAAAGATGTTCCATTAAGGGCCATACCAATTCCTTATGAGGGTGTTTAATTAACTACATGGATAATGGTTTGTGCTTATTTCATTACAATTTTCATCATGTAAGTAGAGTATAATTAAAGGTGTGTGTGTGTGTGTGTATAATATATTTTGTTTTGTGAGTGTTAGGTATAGCAAGTTCAGGTCTATCATGATTGTTTAACGGGTAAATATTTGGTCCTATGAGAACATGTATATACTACATAGTGCAATCTTATACTTGAAAGTAAAGTTTGTTATTTAGCATAGATTTTGTAATTTGCAAAGGGATAAGACTGTGATTTACCATATTTGCAGGTCTCGAGGGTTCCTAGTGTGTTGTAGAAGAATAGATGGAATAAAAGAGCCACCACAGAGTTCGAACTCGACTCCACTCGGTAACTCATTCGTTAACCAGCCGAGCTCCTGAGCTGCTCGGTTAACCGAGTGCTCGTCTATTCAGTAGACGCTCGGCCAACAATGTTCAATACAGCTGCACTTGAGTTCTGCTTTTGCACAAAGGTTCAGTCAAGCTACACTTCAATTCTTTCAATATCATTACACAACCCAGCAATAGAAGAACACCACATGATTTATGGAGAACTTCCATTCAAAGAAAAGAGAAATCTTTGGCCACAAGCAATAACAAAGCTATTCATCTTCTCTGCCATCAAATTACAGGGACACGACGAGTCTGCGATAATATTACATAAACTAACCCGAAAGATTTACCCTAATCACAAACAACACCATCCGAACTCCTTGCGAAATCACAAAACACCCCCTTATGCTACTACAACCAAACTTATTCACCCAAACAAGCAACCAAACGTTACCCGAGCTACTAATTGTTACTTTGAAAGACACCGTTATCCTTTTTCTTTACTCTAGTCGAATCATGCAGGGACATTTTGTAGTTACAATGAATGCACGCGAAAGTCCTCCGAAACATATTATCTATTTAAAAAAAAAAATCGAGCTGCACCAAGAATCTTCAAGTTTTCCTATTCATTTCCCTGCCAAACCTACATAGATAATTCAGACCCACCAAAAGCTCCACAATAACAGCCTCAGTCTCGGCCCGGTCTGCAAAGTAGAGGGTCTGCACCAGACGCACGTTCGGGCCCAAACTAAACCTCTGCCGCTCAAAATTCCTCTCGGACTGCCACCTCACCGTCCCGTGGGCCAGCGGGGACAGCCACTCCAGTATCCTCCCAACAGCCTGGCCCCACTCGGCTGCAAAAGCAGCATCACAACCTGAACCTCTCGAAAAAGCCCGGAGCTTTGCCCTTAAACAACTCTTGACGGCCGTGGGCAGCATACTGTAGAGATCATCCCTTGCATCGAGACTAACCAACTCTGGCGATGAAGCCAACTTCTCGATCAAAATTATGATATTCGCATAGCGTACGGCCAGCGCCGCATGGCCGAGCGTGGATGGTGGGAAATTCAATGGTCGGGATTTAGTGTTGGTGGCCAGAGATGCTTTCTTAACACTTTTGCCACCGCCGTACAAAATATCTTTCAGTTTGATCGGATCTTTCCGGGAGGAGGCATCATTTGCCGACCCGAACGAGCTCTCAACAACAACAGGGGACTCGCACATTTTCTTTTCCATGCAGCCCGTGAAGCCGGCAGGAGCAAACGATATCCTACCTCTCATCGAGGGTTGTTGTTTTCCGCTGATGAAAACTGACGATCGAGAACGAGAATGAGATTTCGATTTCAATTTCACGTTCTTTGACTGAGTCTTTTGACCTCCGAGGCCCAGGCTCGAAAAGGACCTCCCCAGAGGAAAGGAGTAGCTGAAAATATTTGTTTCCGAGGGATAAACCGATGTCTGCCTGAGAGAGTTGCTACGACTCAGATGGCCACCATTCTGTTTAGTGCCGCTGTAAACACATGTGAGCCTCTCGACAATCGTGAAAATCGACCTCAAGAGGAGCTGGACGGTATAATCGTACGTCTTGATCCAGGGAGACATTTCCTTGAGATTCTTCACCTCCTGGCGCTGCCACATCACCTTCTTCTGGAACTCGAGCACCCGAATATCCGGCCCGGCCCGCATCCTCCTCAGGCTCTGTTCCAGCTCGGCAAGAACCTCGAGCTCTTGATACAGCTGTTCTGTGGCTGCTGCGAATTTCTCCATCTTCTTCACATTCTTCTCCATTTTCTTCAGTCTGAACCGAGAGCCAAACCAGTCGGGATCGAGCTCACCCCTCTCGTCGAGAACCCGATCGAGATCATGGTACCTCGGGTCTGTGCACCTCTTCCCGAGCAAAATTACTGACCTGCACACACTTTTCAGATTCTCGATGATCTCGGCAAAAACAAGGTCCATGAGATGGTCCTCACTATCCGAGACGAGCTTCCGGATGCCGGCCGAGCTGGCAATCTCTTCCCGCAATCGAACGAGTTCCCTGTCGGTCAGAGACTGCCACAGGCTGACCACCTTTGACATCAGCTTCGACACTTCGAACGCCATAATTCCAAGAACAGCCTTCTCGGGCTCCCGTGAAATACTCTTACGCGAACTTTTCCATATGGTAACAAGCCAGTTGTCCGCCACAGTTTGCCCCACCATATCTCAATATCTATACGCAATGCTTGAGGACAAACCCGAAAACAAAACCTCAATCAACTGCAGATTATCAAGCAAATAACAGTTAATTTCCAGGGTAACATCCTCAAAACCCTAAGCATCTAGCATCTCGCCCGATCATTACTAGGGCTTTCAATTTGATTCGTGTTCTTCTTCTTCTTCTTCCCCAAACATTTCACCCAGCAACAGAATTAAAGCATAATATAAACAAAATCACCAAAAATTACAGCCGAATTAAAAAACAAAAAACACAAAACAAAACAAAAAAGCATTTCGAGTTACTGGGAAGTAAACACACACTACACACACTGAGAGATAGAAAGCAAACTCACCGATCAACCGGACGACGACGGACATAACTGGAGCTCCGACGAAGCATCTCGACGCTTTTACAGGCTCCAATTAGCGTCCGCAGATTGAGAATCGTGGCCGAGGATAGAGATTTTTTTTCAAGATGATATTTATTTTGGTAAAGGGTGGAGTTCGCTAACGGGCGCACCGCCGGCGTCAAATGAGAGGATAACTGATTTGACCTCGCCACTAGGACCCATGCTAAAGTGCGCCTTTTTTAAGGCAAAAATATATATTATGGTAACTTAATTTTTTTTTAGTCAGCCACGATATCCGAAGCTATGCCCCGATTAATTCGTTGGTCGACCCAGGTCGTACACTTGGTAGTGGATGAGTCTCTCAACAAAGATTTCTGCATCCACAAAGATGCGAGTTTGAGACTTTGCTTAAGTGACATCAAACTGTTTACCACTTGAATCAACCAATGTTGGTGGCTGACTTAATTTTATGTCTCATGTTTTTTGATTTGGGACATAAATAATCAGAAACTTTGTACCTAATAATTTAAAGATTTTCGGTCAATTTTAATATTTTGAATGTAAGGTTTTTATTTATTTTCTAATTATCATAATGTGGGTGAAGAGAATTTCTTTCGATGAATATCTCACCTAAACTTTAAAAAGTCAATACCTTGAATTTTAATTTTATTTTTTCTATTAAATGTCTCAAGAGTCCATCAAAGTTATTTTTATATAGCAATTCAAAAATTTTAAAATGGACCATTTGAAATAAGTCAATATCCATGTCGTCACTAATAAAAAGTACAATAAAATAAAACTGAATTTATATTATTATT